TAAAATAAAAATATAAAAAGTTTTGTTATGTCATGTAATGTAAATGTTTCAGTGAAATACCAGATATTAAAAATAAAAAATGTTCTGAATAAGACTATTATTAATTTCTTATTATTATTACATGTAATTCATATTCAAATGTAAAATTTTAATGTATAAAACTATTAGTATGCTTCATTTATCCACTTTACTCCATTTCATAAAAAATAAAGTATGCTCATTAGGGTTTATTCATACATTCACTATTCGCTGAATGCTGAGCAAACATTTGGCAAACATTGAATAGCGTGAATGGTTTACTTGTGACAAATGTTTGGTATTTGCTGTTTCCCAATTCTTGTCAGCAAATTCTTGCCAAATCAAGATTATTCATCTCTGTGCATTCATATTGTTCATCCAATGATTCATGTATTTTCTTGTTTTTTTGTCTTCAGTATTGTTACTTTAATTTTTAGTTTATTTTTCAATTGGGTTTTTAGTTTAAACATTTATTTTACTTTTTTCTATGTAATTTTTTCTGGTCTATTTTTGCAATATGGTTTTATGTTTGTTTTTAAATTCCTTTCTTTTTCATTTTTGCATTTTTCTTCTTTGGTAAAGTGTTTTCACCATCTTTTTCTTTTAGGCTTTTCTTTCATTAACAGATAGGAATTACTCATAACTATAAAAGCAGTGGCATAAATTATTGTTCAAGAATTGTCCATTTTCTAGATTCTAGACAAACATTCATCATTCCCATAATGAACCAATGCACAGAAAATAATTGAATGTGTGGATGCACCCTTAGACAATCTATTCAAAGCTATAAACAAATGATAATCTCTTTCTTACTTGTTAGATCTTAAAGAATATCCCAATTTTTTCAGTTTCTTTTCCTTATTGTTATCAGTTTCTTCTTCATGACTATAATGAAAACATTCTATCATCAACAAAAACAATTTATAATTTCACCTAAGAAAATTACAGCAGAGTCCCGAAAACTCAGCCTAATGTGGACCAAAGGGTGGCAGAGTTTGTGAAAATGCCGGGTTATCGAAAATGGAGTTAAAAAACAATAAGTAAGAGTGTTTCCTCAGAAAATACTGTACTGTACTTGTAGGCATTGTTTGCTTGAGAATACAACAGAGAATAAACTGCCCAAATAGCCTTAAAGAAAAGAAAAGTATGTACAGTTTAACCCGATTATAACGACATCGGATGTAACGACAACCCTAATATAACNTTACATTTAAATATTTTCAAGAAATGTATTTTATGAGGTAAAATTGCATTAGAAGTGATGTATTCGCCCAAATATTGATGGCTTTTCCCAGTTTTAAAGGAGTAAAAACAAAAAAAAATTAATCATACTCAAATACAGGTTAAGAGTGACAGTAAACATTTTTAATTTTGATAACTGTCTGTGATACACAGTGTACAGAGTTAACTGGCAGTAAAATTTGGTGTGTTGATTGTTTAGCAATGCTAAACACCAGACAAGTTGTGACCTGAAATGCTACAGACCACAAACTGTGCACAGGAATTAAATGTTTGGCACGACTGTAAATTAATTAACTGTTCAAAAACAATAGACTAAACTGAACTGATTGTTTTTATCATATTCAACTCTAAGGAATCTACTAATTGTTTATACTAATAGGGTAATCATCAAAAATTAGGGAAAGGTTGCTGAAAATTTACCATCAAATTTGTTCCATTGTAAAGCATAAATTTCTATTGTAATAATAAATTTATGTATTTAATGCAGTAAAACGTTTTCCAAGACAAAACCTTTCTCACTAGTTTCTAGCCGTTTATACACGAGGACGAACGTTTTTGGCCTTCTTCAATCTTCACTTCTGGATGAAAGACCAAATAGCATAATTACTAACTCATCTGCATAGTGAGGAGTTGTGGGTTTAAGTCTCATCCCATGCTACTCTTTTCTTTCAAACTTCAACAAATAAATAAATTTATTGTGGTCTGTAGAGCGTCGGCCGAAAACAGTGTATAAATGGCTAGAAACTAGTGAGAAAGGTTTTGTCTTGGTCATCTTAAATAATTCTAGCTCCAAATGCAGAAGTGTAAAATGTCTTCCATAAATTCTAAAACATGTATTTTTTTTTATAACTGTCTATAAAGAGAAGTTAAAATGAAACAAAATTTCAGTTTCAGTAGTCATAAAACTGCAAGCATTAATATGTTTTCCAGAATAGCATGAAATGTTTCACATATGCTTTTTTAACCAACTTTTAGGATACTTATGGTGATAGAATTTTTAAAAATTCTAACAATTGGAAATATAGTAGAGAAATGTAATTAAATCTAGTTTATATCAAGAAAGTAGCTTATGATTTAAGATTAAATATATAACTTTAAAATTTTTAAAGAATTTAAATTAACGTAATATCTGTAAAAATTTTAATTACATAACCGTTATTTTTCATTTATATTCAATTTAGTTTAAACTAAATGTTTCAAAATGATTGTCATTAATGAATTTAAGCAGAAGTTTAAATGGTAAAATTTACAATATTTCTTACTTCTTTTCTATTTTACAAACTAAAATAATCAATTTTCAAGAAAATATTTCTGACAAATCATAATTTTAAACTTTACTTTTCTGTATATAGATTGGGAATGTATGTGTGTCAATTATCACTGTTTCTTAAACATTTCTCATATTTAAAAGAACTTTGTCAGAAAATTGTATGAAACATTCATGAACAACTCAGATTTAAATAATCTAAAATTAATAATTATACTTGGGATCTTTAATCTAGTTTAATTGAAATGTTAAAATAAAGATTTATTTTAATGAAACGGTTTAAATATATAAAATGTTATTTATATTATAAAATGACATTTCATACATATATACAAAACTGCACTTTTCTTTCTTTACACAGTCTTCACTAAATTTCCATAATATGCAGTTATAGTCTTTAGTCGTCTATTTAGAAGATTTTGTTCAATTTCCACATTGTTTCCAGGCCCTGCTAGTTTGATGAGCTAAATAAATATGCAATAAAAACATAGAATTATATTTCAATTATAAAAGATACAAGGAAAATACAACTTATATGGTATATTATTTAATATTCCTGAAACCTATTTATTTTAAACTATTTCTTTAAAAATATATAATTACTAATCATCTTCATTGATTTGGAAGAAAATACAAGTTTATCCCTTAAATATAACCGTATTAAAAAAACCTAGTAAATATACAGGGTGGTTATAAATTATTGAGCACATTTCAGGGAGGAATAAAAAAGTATTCATATGTATGCTGTTTTATTTAATAGGCCATTATATATATTTTACACTTTAAATTATATATGAGCTCCATGTGTAGTGCACAAAATATCCAGGCTGCATTCCATTTTGCACCATGTGTTACAGCTCATTTCAGCAGTTAGTCCCCCAGTGTGACTTCATCAATTCATCTTTTCAGTTCTTAAATATTACAAATCTTTGCTGTGTACACCCTGTCTTTAAAAAACCCCAAAGAAATAAATCCAGTGGTGTAATGTTGGGGAATTGAGGTGTCCAGGAAATTGGTCTTCTGCAGCCAATCAGGAAATTTTTCCTGTAGGTAGTCCTGAACAATTAAACCCCATCTTGCTGGAAGTAAATGTTCACTTTTCAATTTCAAGTATTCGATTTGTGGAATTGCATGCATAATCCTACAACATATCAAGGTATGTAGAGTGTTATGTATGCTTAGAAAAGAAGGTTCCATAATTTTCCATCATAAGGCCACTTATGTTTAGTCAATCTTTTACAGCTACTCTATCATCTGAAACAAGACAGAGGTCATTATGTTTGTGTTATTTTTTTATTCCTGAAATGCACTCAATAATTTATAACCATCCTGTATACATGGAATTCAAGAACACACTCAAAAAGAAGAAAATATTTCAAAACTTCAGATAATTATTAAACAAGAAATGAATATTAAATTATTATTATTATTTAAATTTCATTGATGTTAAAATCAAAACTTTCATTTATTAATTTTCAAAATATTCCTGTTCCAATTGCTTGTTTTAGTTAAAATACAGGTATAATTCATATATATACAAATATATATATATATATATATATCTTACATATTCAGTGAGTAGTAGTTGTTTATTCATTGGTTTATACATTAGATGAATTTGTATATATAGTTATAATAAAGAAATTATTAATAAATAAAATGAAATTCTTAAGAATATAACTGCAAATAAAATGATGATAATACAATGTGATATAACAGAGTTAAAAAAATTAATACAAGAATTAATTTTTTCAGATGAAGTATGAATTAATAATTCCTTTAAAAAATAATATATCAATGATATAAAAATAGAATTGTACTGAACTTATCAAATACACAGTATTTGAAAAATATATCTGTTGATCTTTAAAAAGATATTTGATGATGATGTTATTTAAAAACTACTCACCTGGTTAACACATGTATTCCTTGGAGCAAAAAATGCAATATTCTTAGTTATTTTTTTGGTTACTTCAAATAAATGATTAGTACAAATGTTAAGAAATATTTCTATGATATAATTAAAAAGAAATATAAATTTTAGATAAAGTTAAGAATTATTATTAATTAATGTACATTTAATAAATTTGTATACTGAATATCATAAAAAGATAAGTATTTTCATATCATCACACAGTTAGCATCCATTTAGTCTGTAACTATAATCATGGTGCAATTCTATAGAGCTAGAACCCATTCAGCCCCCAATAGCATTTTAAGTGGTGCCAGGCCTTCCAACTTTGGGGAGAGTGGAACATCTTAAATTATTATTAGGGACTGAATGGTATCTCTTAGAGTTGACACTCATGACTATAATGTAGATAAATTTAAAGAATTGTCTGTAAATACACCTATATATGCATATGCACAATAAAATAAAAAGGATATCAGTCAAGACCCATTGAATTCAGATCATATTCTTCAGATTCTAAATATTCAGGCCCTCCCCAAGGTGGACTTAAAAACACTACATCAGCTTTTAATTTTGGTGCAAGATGAAAATAATCAGCAATTATAAATTCAATTCTGTCAGCAACTCCATATATTTCTGCATTATGTTTAGCAAGAAGAATTTTACCAGGATCAATATCTATAGCTATGACTGAAAGATAAATATAACATGTGAATATAATATGTGCAATTATTTTATTTATATAATTATAATTATATACTAACCTTGCTTGCAATAAAGAGCAAATTGAATGGTATTACCACCTGCTCCACAAAATGCATCTATTACTAAATCACAGGTACATTTCTCAGCAATATGTTCTGCAATACGTTCAGGCGTTACAGAAAACCAAGATTCTATAATAAAGTAACAAATTTTCAGTTAAGTTTTCTTTCTGCTAAATTTGATTTTATCATTTATCACACAAATGTAAATACCAAAATCAAGTTTAATTCCTTCGTCAAATCTTGAAAATAATCTGTATCTCTGTGCCCAGTATTTTAAAAGTTCTGGATTACTCTTTACTTCATCTGGAATTTTTTCAAAATTTTTCTTTTTCTTTTTTTTCTTCTTCTTTTTAAATATTTTTTCCACATTTTCTAAAGAAGAGTTAACTAATTCTTGATTTTCACTTATAACTTCTTCCACAGTATTTTGATTTGTATTCACATCCTCTTCTGTATTCTGGGTTAATAAAAGACTTGAGGGAAGAACTTCACTAACAGAAATTTCTTTTTGATCTAAACATACATTTTCTGAGGTTTGTTCCTGTCAGATGAAATATTAGTATCATTTTTGTATATTATATGTAATATTTTAAGAAAAATCTTAAAAAATTTATGTTTAAATATTCAGTTTTGAAAGTAATTTATAAGTTAAATTTTATACAAATGAATAAAGTAAATATGTTAAAAGTATAAATCAAATTTATGGAGTGAGATAGATTCAAGCACTAGATCTATCAGTAAATATTCAAAAAGAACATTGAAATTTAACAGAAAAGTAAAATTCTAAAATTAAACTATTTTTAGAATTTTACTTTTTTGATATATACATATATATACAACCAACCCCATTGTTTTAAATTTATTTTTTTATATATATTTTACTGAAATTTAAGATGCATAGACACATTTAAAAATATGTTATGTCATTAATATCAAATATTATATTTACAAATATATTAGCTACAAAGTAAGCAGATCAGCAAAATTGGATTGGACTTTTCCCAACAAACATCATTGAACTATTTAGGTATGAATGACCAGATCTGTTTCACACATTATTAATTAAATCAATGGCTGAAGAGATGAAAATGGTAACTGAAACATCAATCTAAAGTACTAATGAATGTTTACAGAAATCTATATCAATTTTTAATCAGTATAAATCTCTTATAGTAAAAACAAAATTCCACTATATGGAATCTAGCTGATTATTTTAGGAGAATAAAATTAATTTTGTACATTGGTGAAAATATATATAAATGTGTATACTTATACTTTTACTACATATTTTATTTTTGAATGATTTAAGATACTTATTCATTATTTATTAAAATGATCTGATATCTTCTTATCTAGAAAAATTCCAAACTTTTTATCTTGCTTAAAAAGTTTATATTGTAAGTAATTTGTACAGACATGACAAGAGTTTTTAAAATTTAATTTTAATTTTTTAGTTAAGAGCAACAGTATATAGTACATTAGCTCTAATGCTCTATATCCAAAAATAAAAATCTATTAAAAACAGACTAAAACAAGCAACTATTGAATAAAATACTGTGCACACTAATTCAAATCAATTTTGCTTGTTTTCTGCTAAATATTCTAGCCAAAAATAAACCACAGGGCATTTTAGGAAACACAAAGAATTTGTACCAAATGTTGTATTATTTTTTAACAATTTTGTCTGTAATTCATTGACTTTCTTTTCTTTATAGATAACCCTGTAATCTGAACAGCCTATTCAAATAATTAGTTGAATTAGTGAATACGTACTATAGTATTCAAATCCAAATATGGAACAACGAACAATGTCTTAATAAACTTTACTGCTAAATCAGGAAAGTATTTTAATTGAGATTTAATTATTCAATAAACTGAAGTACAATTAAGATTCACTTATAAAGTTTGTTTTCTATTGTGAACTTTTTATCTCTGAACCTTTGATAAATTTTCTTCAAATATGTTCATAATTAAAAAGTAACTTTGTTTAATTACATTATATTTTACACTAATATGATTTATTATAAACAACTGAATAAAATTACTTACCATGGGGGTAGGCTCATTATCAAAAGGATAGAAAGTCTGGTCTTTCATTTCATATGGCTTTTTATTCAAATTAAAAAATGGTTTTATGTCTTCATTAGAAACAATACAAATATTATTAATTTTAACTCCAAAATCTGTTTGTTTCCTAAACAAAAAATGAAAATCATAAAGATATAAAAGATTTTGTGATGAACAACAGAATTTAAAATAAATTATAGTACAATTTAAATTTAAAATCATTGATTTATCATGTATGTAACAGTTATTATTATGACTAATATAACTTAAAATTAACTATTTACATAATAAAATTGTTTATTAAATGTAATATCGAACTGGAATATTGAAAATATCTATATTTTTATGCGCCATTTTAATATTATGGACTTTTATTTTCAATTTAATTTCTTCTCAATAATAATAATAATAATAATAATATATATAATAAGACTATATAAAATCACAGAGCTTTTTTATATCTTTATTCTTATAAAATAAAAATATAAAAAGTTTTGTTATGTCATGTAATGTAAATGTTTCAGTGAAATACCAGATATTAAAAATAAAAAATGTTCTGAATAAGACTATTATTAATTTCTTATTATTATTACATGTAATTCATATTCAAATGTAAAATTTTAATGTATAAAACTATTAGTATGCTTCATTTATCCACTTTACTCCATTTCATAAAAAATAAAGTATGCTCATTAGGGTTTATTCATACATTCACTATTCGCTGAATGCTGAGCAAACATTTGGCAAACATTGAATAGCGTGAATGGTTTACTTGTGACAAATGTTTGGTATTTGCTGTTTCCCAATTCTTGTCAGCAAATTCTTGCCAAATCAAGATTATTCATCTCTGTGCATTCATATTGTTCATCCAATGATTCATGTATTTTCTTGTTTTTTTGTCTTCAGTATTGTTACTTTAATTTTTAGTTTATTTTTCAATTGGGTTTTTAGTTTAAACATTTATTTTACTTTTTTCTATGTAATTTTTTCTGGTCTATTTTTGCAATATGGTTTTATGTTTGTTTTTAAATTCCTTTCTTTTTCATTTTTGCATTTTTCTTCTTTAGTAAAGTGTTTTCACCATCTTTTTCTTTTAGGCTTTTCTTTCATTAACAGATAGGAATTACTCATAACTATAAAAGCAGTGGCATAAATTATTGTTCAAGAATTGTCCATTTTCTAGATTCTAGACAAACATTCATCATTCCCATAATGAACCAATGCACAGAAAATAATTGAATGTGTGGATGCACCCTTAGACAATCTATTCAAAGCTATAAACAAATGATAATCTCTTTCTTACTTGTTAGATCTTAAAGAATATCCCAATTTTTTCAGTTTCTTTTCCTTATTGTTATCAGTTTCTTCTTCATGACTATAATGAAAACATTCTATCATCAACAAAAACAATTTATAATTTCACCTAAGAAAATTACAGCAGAGTCCCGAAAACTCAGCCTAATGTGGACCAAAGGGTGGCAGAGTTTGTGAAAATGCCGGGTTATCGAAAATGGAGTTAAAAAACAATAAGTAAGAGTGTTTCCTCAGAAAATACTGTACTGTACTTGTAGGCATTGTTTGCTTGAGAATACAACAGAGAATAAACTGCCCAAATAGCCTTAAAGAAAAGAAAAGTATGTACAGTTTAACCCGATTATAACGACATCGGATGTAACGACAACCCTAATATAACGTCAAATTTTTATCGGTCCCACGATTTTACTACACTAGATAATGTTAAAAAACCCACTTGTAACGACATAAAACCCTGTTTTAACATCATATTTGAAGCACTCTTAAATTTACAAAATTAAATTATAAATTTTATTTATCAAAGAAAATACTGTGTTCAGTCCTAGGGTCACAGTCCGCTTCCTAGAACAATTGTGGGTGGTACTGTCACCACCTGATTCAATGGGGTGAGATGCGCCACCCCTTTAAACGACGTGACAGTGGGTTAGTCTGCATAGCTCTCATATTTGTGTTGTAGTTTAGCATCAAATCAGGTAAAATGGCTAGCTTAAAAAGGAAAGCGTTAACATTAGACTGCAAAGTAGAAATAATTAAAGCAGTTGAAAGTGGAAGAAAAAAGGCAGATGTATGCAGAGACTTTAGTTTAGCAAATTCTACAGGTCTCGTAAAACTTCATCGGAAATAATGAACAAAATCTACGACTTAGAAAATGACATTGATAAACAATTTTTAGGTGAAAAATGCCTACAATCTAAAATAACTGACTTTTTTTAAGTGAATATTTTTATTGTTTCTTTTTAATTGATATACATTAATTTAACCTAAAAGTGAAAGATATTGGACTTCATGTCTATTGATAGATAAGCAAGAAACGAGAAAATTATCATCCAGGCGTTAATAACACCTGGATGATAATTTTCTCATTTCTTGCTTAATTTAACTTTTTGTTGCCTTTTGATTCGACATTATTCTCAAAACCGAAAGTGCCGCTATTATCGAAACTTGACAAATAAAAATTTTTTATAAAAAATAATTTTTGAAATTTTTAATTACATCGTTGTAAATTTAGACATAATAATGTAAATAAAGTTGATTTAAATGTTTAGTTTGCACTTTTATACATACGATATTAAATTAGATGAATTTTATAATAGATTCTTAAACAGACTTGATATTTTATGGGACTGAAATTATGACCCCGCAGACGACGACACTTGGTTATAACGTCAAAAAACTGCCGGTCCCATGGATGATGTTATAAGCAGGTTAAACTGTACTTTATAAAGGCATAGAGCCTTTATTACATGAAATTGAAAGTTAATGAATACACAGTGTACAGTAATTTACCTGATAAGACAGGTTTCAGAAAAATGCTTTATGAGGCATAAAGTTGTCTATAATGAAAATTAACTAGGGGTTTTTTCGTCCTGCCAGGTTGTGGCCGAGTTTTCGGGACTCTACTGTAATACAAAGTGTTCCATATAAAATTCCCTAATTTGAACTGTTGATGAATTAATTTCAGTATATATTGTTTCATTTTAATGTCATATTGTGATATTACAAGAGTGTTATATGAGCTTTGGAATAAATTTTGAATTTGGCTACAGATCAATACAAAGAAAAAAAAAACTGAATGAAGAGTTCCCAGCAGGTGAATTGGAAGAAGGAAATCCATTCCTTGATTATCAGATCACCTCACTTCTTATGAATATGTGTCAAAGATGGTGTTTGAACTTCCATATGAAACATCCAGCAGCTGCATAAACACATCCAAAATGTTATTGCAGCTGTTACACCTGAAATACTTCAGAGCACATAAGTATAAATTAAATATTGACTGGAAATCCTCTGTCCAACTGCTGTCTGATGATACAGTAGAGTCTCGTAAACTCAGCCTAATGTGGACTGAAGGGTGGCCGAGTTTGTGAAAATGCCGGGTTATCGGGAATGGGGTTAAAAAAAAATAAGTATGAGTGTTTCCTCAGAAAATACTGTATTGTACTTGTATGTATTGTTTACTTGAAAATACAACAGAGAATAAACTGCCCAAATACCCTTAAACAAAGGAAAAGTACATCCTTTATGAAGGCATAGAGCTTTTACTACATGAAAATGAAAATTAATGAATACACTGTGTACAGTAATTTACCTGATAAGACAGACCCCAGAAAAATACTTTATGAGGCATAAAGCTGTCTATAATGAAAATTAATTAACTAAGGATTTTTTTGCCCTGCTAGGGTGTGGCCAAGTTATCCAGACTGCCGGGTTATCGAGTGCCGAGTTTTCGAGAGACTACTGTATATGAAAGTTTATTGATTTTTGTATTTAAACTTGGTGAGTCATACTTAAATTGCCTGTACAGTTTACTTTGACTTGTGGAGAAATAGTGAAATAAAAATGGAGAATTTCTAATGGGACCACTTTGTATAAGCATTTAGATAAATAAAAATAACAATTTTTTTTATTGATATCAAATTTATAACTTTATTAAGAGATATGACAATCAATAACTAACCTTCTTTTGATTTTAAATGGAATTTCTTCAGGAGGATCATCATCATCATCATCATCATCATTATTATTATTAGATGACACTGATATATTACCATCACCTGTTTTTTCACAATTAACTTTATTCTGTCCAGAATCAGTATTTTCTTCACAATTTGTTTTATGCTGTTTCTCAGAAGAAGAATCATTATGATCGGCAGATTCAACTAAATTCAGTTCACTTAACCTATTCTGTACATTTGTAAATTTCTGTTGAATATTTGTTAAGTTTTGGCTTCCATAAAAAGAAGTCACAAATTTCTCATAATGAAGTTCGTATATTTCTTTACAGTGACTGTCCCAGATATCTTTCCATGGATTATGAATGCTATCTATTTTATTATGTGCAGAATTATCACTTGATTCTTCAGTGTTTTTGGATAAACTTTCACATAATAAATCATTATTTGAACCATCTGAAATTCTTTGATCTTTTTCTGACTCAACTAATTGTTCATTGTTAGAGTTATATTTTGAATTCAAATTATTTTCATAATTTGGATCTATAAAATCTTTATATTTTTCTACCCAACTATTCCATATTAAAGTCTCTCCATTAGTAGACCAATATATTTCCCATTCTTGAATTAACTTACTTTGATGAATTTCATCTGTAGAATAATCATAATTTGTTTCTTGATGAAATTCATTTAAATAATAATCATTGTATTTTTCTTTCTTCATACACTGACAACTATTTGATTTTTTCTTCTTCATTTTTGCAGAATTCTATGAAATATAAAGAAAAATTATTATTATTATTTTTATAACATTGATTTCCATACATTTCGCATTCACAATGACAAAAATAGCAATCATAATAATACTTATTAAAGAGTATATTATATATTATTAGAAAATATCTCAAAGTAAAAAAATTAAATCAAATAATTTAAAACTTTTGGAAGAAAAAGTCAACTCAAGTAGATTCAAATCCACATCTTACACAAAGATGCTATTATGCAAAATAGGAGGATTAATATTCTTGTATTAACATTCATATAAGATATCAGCCTGTCTATCTTAGTCTAAATTATATTATTAAAATGATATAATAGGAAATGATGGTTGTGTTAAAGGTGACGTTTATGGTCGTCGTCGAGGCTTTACTAGGATTTTGCGTGTTAAGAGGAAGAATTTTGTAGATTCGAATAAACATGGAATCTCTGTCGACACCGGGAGAAAACGGAGGGAGGTCATACTGCATTCAGAGGGTTCCTCTCGTGTTTCCGTGCAAGGCGTATCCTACCCAATTGGCAATTATGGATAAAATAATAAAAGGATTAACCAGAAGACAGAATTGCTTAATAGAATCTCCTACAGGGACAGGAAAGAGTTTGGCTTTGCTAATATCGTGTTCGGCCTGGTGGAGAAGTTTAGCTAATGATAATACCAGTGAAGATTTGATTAATTAATAACCAAATTATAGTCAACAGAATCTAGCAATTCAATAGATGATTACTAAAACTAATTATGAATAAATAGAGACAATTAATTTAAGTTAAAATTCTATGTAAAAGAATGATCGCTGTTTTTACCTGTTTACCAAACTGAATTGGTAAACCTAATTCTAACATCAATTTTTGATCTTCTAGAACTTCTTCCATGTATTCTTCTTCAATTTCACTACGTTCCAAGTCATGTCCGCTGTTTGGGTAACTTCTTGTGTCAAAGTTTTCATTATTAAAATTTTCACATTTGCAGTAAGTATTTTTAGAGCAAATATCATTATTTTCAATCAATGAAATTGAATTTTTTAATTTTGCAAGTTTACATAATGATGATAATCCCATCTTGTATAAATCAGTATCCCTAGAGAAAATAAACTTACAATTATATACATATACTTAATTTACTTTATTTCAAAATTAAACTACTAATAAAATTAGAAAATAATTTATATTTTAACTATCAAATGATTAAAAAAAAGAAAATATTCCTATATATTCATTAAAAATCCCTTATGCTTAAAACCAAAATACACTGCTGGCCACTAAAAATGCTACACCAGTAAATAAATCAAATATCAGAACCATATTTATTGTACACATACAGTATAATGTGAGGGAGACATAATTAAATTGACAAGTAATTTTGAGGTACAGAGCATGCAGAAATCAGTACCAAGAGCAGTTGCCTCTGGCAGCATTAACAGCTGTAATCAGGCTGGGCATTGAGTCAAACAGTTTGGCTGGTGGGTTAAACTCTATAACAGAGTTCATCTATTGTACTTATTGGCAAGTGGTGGCATGCCACTTTCTCGGCAACCAATGACCAGATGTTCTCAATTGGTGACACATCGGGGGAACATGATGGCCGCGGCAACAGTCAAACACATTCTGTATTCAGGAAGGTCAGGACAGCATGGGCAACAAGCGGTTGTGCATTGTCCTAATGAAAGGTAGCGTAATGGAAACTTCAAAGATAGGACACAGCAACAGGCCTTAATTAACACATCACAAATGTAACAATGGCTATCTAAATTATCATTCATGCAAACAAGAGGTGACCAGGATTGTCATCCAATGGCACACCATACCATCTCTCCAGGTGCTGGGCCTGCATGATGACAATGAATGTACACTGGCAACGATTGTATCCCTCAATGCCGCCGCACATAGATATGACCATAATGATGCAGTATGCAGAATTGGTCTGTTTTTATTACTAAAAGTTTTTTATATTTTTAATTACTATAAAATGGTAAACNGTTACTTCAAATAAATGATTAGTACAAATGTTAAGAAATATTTCTATGATATAATTAAAAAGAAATATAAATTTTAGATAAAGTTAAGAATTATTATTAATTAATGTACATTTAATAAATTTGTATACTGAATATCATAAAAAGATAAGTATTTTCATATCATCACACAGTTAGCATCCATTTAGTCTGTAACTATAATCATGGTGCAATTCTATAGAGCTAGAACCCATTCAGCCCCCAATAGCATTTTAAGTGGTGCCAGGCCTTCCAACTTTGGGGAGAGTGGAACATCTTAAATTATTATTAGGGACTGAATGGTATCTCTTAGAGTTGACACTCATGACTATAATGTAGATAAATTTAAAGAATTGTCTGTAAATACACCTATATATGCATATGCACAATAAAATAAAAAGGATATCAGTCAAGACCCATTGAATTCAGATCATATTCTTCAGATTCTAAATATTCAGGCCCTCCCCAAGGTGGACTTAAAAACACTACATCAGCTTTTAATTTTGGTGCAAGATGAAAATAATCAGCAATTATAAATTCAATTCTGTCAGCAACTCCATATATTTCTGCATTATGTTTAGCAAGAAGAATTTTACCAGGATCAATATCTATAGCTATGACTGAAAGATAAATATAATATGTGAATATAATATGTGCAATTATTTTATTTATATAATTATAATTATATACTAACCTTGCTTGCAATAAAGAGCAAATTGAATGGTATTACCACCTGCTCCACAAAATGCATCTATTACTAAATCACAGGTACATTTCTCAGCAATATGTTCTGCAATACGTTCAGGCGTTACAGAAAACCAAGATTCTATAATAAAGTAACAAATTTTCAGTTAAGTTTTCTTTCTGCTAAATTTGATTTTATCATTTATCACACAAATGTAAATACCAAAATCAAGTTTAATTCCTTCGTCAAATCTTGAAAATAATCTGTATCTCTGTGCCCAGTATTTTAAAAGTTCTGGATTACTCTTTACTTCATCTGGAATTTTTTCAAAATTTTTCTTTTTCTTTTTTTTCTTCTTCTTTTTAAATATTTTTTCCACATTTTCTAAAGAAGAGTTAACTAATTCTTGATTTTCACTTATAACTTCTTCCACAGTATTTTGATTTGTATTCACATCCTCTTCTGTATTCTGGGTTAATAAAAGACTTGAGGGAAGAACTTCACTAACAGAAATTTCTTTTTGATCTAAACATACATTTTCTGAGGTTTGTTCCTGTCAGATGAAATATTAGTATCATTTTTGTATATTATATGTAATATTTTAAGAAAAATCTTAAAAAATTTATGTTTAAATATTCAGTTTTGAAAGTAATTTATAAGTTAAATTTTATACAAATGAATAAAGTAAATATGTTAAAAGTATAAATCAAATTTATGGAGTGAGATAGATTCAAGCACTAGATCTATCAGTAAATATTCAAAAAGAACATTGAAATTTAACAGAAAAGTAAAATTCTAAAATTAAACTATTTTTAGAATTTTACTTTTTTGATATATACATATATATACAACCAACCCCATTGTTTTAAATTTATTTTTTTATATATATTTTACTGAAATTTAAGATGCATAGACACATTTAAAAATATGTTATGTCATTAATATCAAATATTATATTTACAAATATATTAGCTACAAAGTAAGCAGATCAGCAAAATTGGATTGGACTTTTCCCAACAAACATCATTGAACTATTTAGGTATGAATGACCAGATCTGTTTCACACATTATTAATTAAATCAATGGCTGAAGAGATGAAAATGGTAACTGAAACATCAATCTAAAGTACTAATGAATGTTTACAGAAATCTATATCAATTTTTAATCAGTATAAATCTCTTATAGTAAAAACAAAATTCCACTATATGGAATCTAGCTGATTATTTTAGGAGAATAAAATTAATTTTGTACATTGGTGAAAATATATATAAATGTGTATACTTATACTTTTACTACATATTTTATTTTTGAATGATTTAAGATACTTATTCATTATTTATTAAAATGATCTGATATCTTCTTATCTAGAAAAATTCCAAACTTTTTATCTTGCTTAAAAAGTTTATATTGTAAGTAATTTGTACAGACATGACAAGAGTTTTTAAAATTTAATTTTAATTTTTTAGTTAAGAGCAACAGTATATAGTACATTAGCTCTAATGCTCTATATCCAAAAATAAAAATCTATTAAAAACAGACTAAAACAAGCAACTATTGAATAAAATACTGTGCACACTAATTCAAATCAATTTTGCTTGTTTTCTGCTAAATATTCTAGCCAAAAATAAACCACAGGGCATTTTAGGAAACACAAAGAATTTGTACCAAATGTTGTATTATTTTTTAACAATTTTGTCTGTAATTCATTGACTTTCTTTTCTTTATAGATAACCCTGTAATCTGAACAGCCTATTCAAATAATTAGTTGAATTAGTGAATACGTACTATAGTATTCAAATCCAAATATGGAACAACGAACAATGTCTTAATAAACTTTACTGCTAAATCAGGAAAGTATTTTAATTGAGATTTAATTATTCAATAAACTGAAGTACAATTAAGATTCACTTATAAAGTTTGTTTTCTATTGTGAACTTTTTATCTCTGAACCTTTGATAAATTTTCTTCAAATATGTTCATAATTAAAAAGTAACTTTGTTTAATTACATTATATTTTACACTAATATGATTTATTATAAACAACTGAATAAAATTACTTACCATGGGGGTAGGCTCATTATCAAAAGGATAGAAAGTCTGGTCTTTCATTTCATATGGCTTTTTATTCAAATTAAAAAATGGTTTTATGTCTTCATTAGAAACAATACAAATATTATTAATTTTAACTCCAAAATCTGTTTGTTTCCTAAACAAAAAATGAAAATCATAAAGATATAAAAGATTTTGTGATGAACAACAGAATTTAAAATAAATTATAGTACAATTTAAATTTAAAATCATTGATTTATCATGTATGTAACAGTTATTATTATGACTAATATAACTTAAAATTAACTATTTACATAATAAAATTGTTTATTAAATGTAATATCGAACTGGAATATTGAAAATATCTATATTTTTATGCGCCATTTTAATATTATGGACTTTTATTTTCAATTTAATTTCTTCTCAATAATAATAATAATAATAATAATATATATAATAAGACTATATAAAATCACAGAGCTTTTTTATATCTTTATTCTTATAAAATAAAAATATAAAAAGTTTTGTTATGTCATGTAATGTAAATGTTTCAGTGAAATACCAGATATTAAAAATAAAAAATGTTCTGAATAAGACTATTATTAATTTCTTATTATTATTACATGTAATTCATATTCAAATGTAAAATTTTAATGTATAAAACTATTAGTATGCTTCATTTATCCACTTTACTCCATTTCATAAAAAATAAAGTATGCTCATTAGGGTTTATTCATACATTCACTATTCGCTGAATGCTGAGCAAACATTTGGCAAACATTGAATAGCGTGAATGGTTTACTTGTGACAAATGTTTGGTATTTGCTGTTTCCCAATTCTTGTCAGCAAATTCTTGCCAAATCAAGATTATTCATCTCTGTGCATTCATATTGTTCATCCAATGATTCATGTATTTTCTTGTTTTTTTGTCTTCAGTATTGTTACTTTAATTTTTAGTTTATTTTTCAATTGGGTTTTTAGTTTAAACATTTATTTTACTTTTTTCTATGTAATTTTTTCTGGTCTATTTTTGCAATATGGTTTTATGTTTGTTTTTAAATTCCTTTCTTTTTCATTTTTGCATTTTTCTTCTTTAGTAAAGTGTTTTCACCATCTTTTTCTTTTAGGCTTTTCTTTCATTAACAGATAGGAATTACTCATAACTATAAAAGCAGTGGCATAAATTATTGTTCAAGAATTGTCCATTTTCTAGATTCTAGACAAACATTCATCATTCCCATAATGAACCAATGCACAGAAAATAATTGAATGTGTGGATGCACCCTTAGACAATCTATTCAAAGCTATAAACAAATGATAATCTCTTTCTTACTTGTTAGATCTTAAAGAATATCCCAATTTTTTCAGTTTCTTTTCCTTATTGTTATCAGTTTCTTCTTCATGACTATAATGAAAACATTCTATCATCAACAAAAACAATTTATAATTTCACCTAAGAAAATTACAGCAGAGTCCCGAAAACTCAGCCTAATGTGGACCAAAGGGTGGCAGAGTTTGTGAAAATGCCGGGTTATCGAAAATGGAGTTAAAAAACAATAAGTAAGAGTGTTTCCTCAGAAAATACTGTACTGTACTTGTAGGCATTGTTTGCTTGAGAATACAACAGAGAATAAACTGCCCAAATAGCCTTAAAGAAAAGAAAAGTATGTACAGTTTAACCCGATTATAACGACATCGGATGTAACGACAACCCTAATATAACGTCAAATTTTTATCGGTCCCACGATTTTACTACACTAGATAATGTTAAAAAACCCACTTGTAACGACATAAAACCCTGTTTTAACATCATATTTGAAGCACTCTTAAATTTACAAAATTAAATTATAAATTTTATTTATCAAAGAAAATACTGTGTTCAGTCCTAGGGTCACAGTCCGCTTCCTAGAACAATTGTGGGTGGTACTGTCACCACCTGATTCAATGGGGTGAGATGCGCCACCCCTTTAAACGACGTGACAGTGGGTTAGTCTGCATAGCTCTCATATTCGTGTTGTAGTTTAGCATCAAATCAGGTAAAATGGCTAGCTTAAAAAGGAAAGCGTTAACATTAGACTGCAAAGTAGAAATAATTAAAGCAGTTGAAAGTGGAAGAAAAAAGGCAGATGTATGCAGAGACTTTGGTTTAGCAAATTCTACAGGTCTCGTAAAACTTCATCGGAAATAATGAACAAAATCTACGACTTAGAAAATGACATTGATAAACAATTTTTAGGTGAAAAATGCCTACAATCTAAAATAACTGACTTTTTTTAAGTGAATATTTTTATTGTTTCTTTTTAATTGATATACATTAATTTAACCTA